TTCATTTACGACGATTAGTATAAAACGAACTTCTCCTCTCTGGGATCCACTCAATACATAAATGTACTAGTGCAACTAATCAGTCAAGACACTGTTGACACTACAACCGTTCTGATGGGGTGATCATTTTCATCTACGTTGTGAACCAATAATTCTTGTTTCGCAAGTAACTGATAAAATGATCTTTTGTTTACTTGTTAATGAACCATTTTATCTAAGTGCAAAAAAAACAGAACATAGAACTTGTTTAATTGAGCATGATTCTCATTCATAAAAGGCAATAGTGTAATATCATCCAAACCAAGCTTTCAGTATATAACACCAACAATCTCCCACTTATACTTAAAACTTTCGCTTTTACAATTATACTCCTACTAATGCATTATTCTGAAAGACCTATGTCGATCCTATCGTCATACACCTGACTCTCATTCCTTCCACGTGTTTGACGAAGACCTTCCCCGGTAAACTCTTCGTGAAAGGATCAGCTAGGTTGTCCTCCGATACAATCTTGACAACATCGACGTCTTCTCTACCCACGATATCTCGTATCAGATAGTACTTGCGGTCTATGTGTTTGCTTGCTCTGTGGGCTCGTGGTTCCCTTGAGTTTGCTACCACTGCACTGTTATCATAGTACACGGTGATACTACGCGGCAAACTCAGAATCACCTCTGAGTCCACTAAGAAGTTCCTGAGCCAAACTGCCTACAACCTTGCTTATTGTGATGGCTGTGGAAGACTCGAAATGGTGGGTGTTTAATAAGGATTGGTGCTCAGAGAGACAGCTGGTGAAGTAGGCCTATCAGGAGTGGAAGGAACTCGAAGCCAATGCCATAGGTCCTATTCAGAAGGCCACTGGTTGATCTGGTGCAGTTTTTAGCTCTCAGTGCTAATGGATCCTCAGTTGCAAGGTTTCAAGTGATAGGGGTTGCCCTTATAAATAATGCAGTGGTTCACAAATGGTCTTCAACAAGGCAAAACATAAGAGGAGCAGAAGTAGAAGCTCTAATCCAAATCAGGGAGTGGTTATTTGTAGGGAGAAGGCAAGGTGTTGCAAGAAGTCCGAATCCAGGTTGGTGATTTGCATTTGAGGAAGAAATTAATTTAAAAGGCTCCGTTTAATGCTGTTATTGATGTGATTGTTCAAGACATTTTTACCTAATTAGGTGTTCTTGGTCTTTTATGAACTCTTGTTTGTATTTCTTGATTTTTCAGTTTCCCTTGTTTGTTTGTTTCTTGTTCGTTGTGTTTTTGTTTAGTGTTGGGATGACCTCTTTGGTCCTTCAGGGGAGCTCGGTGTAGATTCCTCTTTGGATTTCTTTGGTTAAGTTGTGCCTAACCGGAGAACCTTATTTGTAACCCGTTGATTATGCGGACATACTTTGTGAGCTTTATTTATCATATTTGATATCCCCCTTATATATAATTCCCGAATGCGCTGAGCCTACGTGACTGCTTCTGGTGCTTCAGAATCCAACTTGGCGAAGAATCATGCTTCGTAATTAGGTTTGGACAAATAATATTAATATATTAATAATTAATAATCTAGGTTCGGACATTCTATAAATTTTAGCTAACTTAGGTATTTTAATATCACTTGTACTAATATAACCCTTTAATTCTTTGTAATTTTACATAGTGAGACACTAAGTGACTAATATATCCCCGACTTTCGATTTGTTTCCTTCAATTAGCTATTGAATTATAAATATATTTTAAAAGTTGATAACTTTTGTATTTCTTATCGGTTTTACATATATAATATATCAAATTAATCATCTTTTTATGATCTTCGATTTGACATCCATATTGTATATATATAAAATAAATAAATTATATTTATCTTTATAATAATAAAAAATAATAGTATTTATTAAACTTTATTAGAAAAATAAAATTATTTTTCAGTTGATATATTTATGTTAAATGTGTTATATGTTGTAAGTTAAAAAATTATTATAATATAACACAAGTAAATCACACAAATAAAAAGTGTCATACTAAATATATAATAATATATATTTTAATAAAAGGTATTTAAATTTTCAACTACTTTTTCTCATTAATTTTAGATTTTAAGGAAAAAATTAGCAACCACCCGTGTATTAGACGGGATTTGTACTAGTTTGATAAAAAAACAAAGTCGGAGATATTACGAAATACAAAATACAACTGGAGACGAAAACTGTAAACAAGCTCCATCGGCGTCCTTCTGATCCATCGTACCAGCTCTTCGGCCTCGCGGCGGCGCCACCCCCGGGCGCCCTCTGCACATTTTATCCTTCTCAAGAAGCTTTCTGGAAATCTCTTATAACCCCGAAATTATTTGCAAGGGAACAAAATTACCTCCTCAATCAAGTAAGCAAATGCCTGAAGCAATTTTTGTCGTTCGATTCTCTTTCTTTTCCCGTAAAATAACATAAATGTTACGAAATTCGCACTTATCATTTGCATCTGTAAGTTTTTTAAAAGTTATATTGTTAGCTGCTGGAGAAGAACGAGGATCGCGTCGAACTCTAGTTGTATCATTTCTTTCTTGTTCTTTGCGTTTTGAGAGTGGGAGCTCTTTAAGTAATTTACAATTAAGAAAGAGGAAAATAAAGCAATTGATTTTAGCTGTTCAGTTTCAATCAGTGTGTGACCCTGGAATTTGTATAAGAGGCTTTCAGATGTAAAAATCTCATTTTCTGTCCCTGTTGGGGATGATAGAATTTTACTCTGTTTCGTGAATATCACATTTTCAGCATAAAAGTGTTTACTCATTTATGATTTGTTATGTGTTGTGGTGTATTAAGCTATATATATGGAATTTGTTTTCCTTGCTCTGTTAGGACTTGGGAACTTAAGAAGCTGGCTTAAACAAGTAGATCGTAGCATACGATTTGTAGCTTCAATGGCTGCTTCACAAGCTGCTCTGCCATTTCTATCTCGGGCAGTGACAAACCAAACTTACACACATTTAAGCTCAACTGCTCTGATTTCCTTTAAATCGAGTTTCAAAATACGGCAGCACAAACACTACTTGTTCTCACCACAGAAGGGCAAGAAGATATGTCGCAATTTATACACCAGAAGCCATGTGATCGGGATTCATAGTAGAATTTCCAGAAAAAAGCTAGATGTTCAGGCAAAATCTTGGCGTCGTTATTGTTCTGGGGCTGAAAATGTTCGAGAGGCATTTGAAGAGAATGGCGTGGCCAGGGAAGCTAGCAATCAAGTTCCTGAGTCTTCACATTATGTGGACTATGGAAAGAAATTACATTCAAAAGCAATTAGTGACACATTTGGTGAAGTTGTTGCCGATTCTTTGGAGGATGAAGCTTGGAATTTGTTGCGGGCATCGGTTGTGTATTATGGTGGGAATCCAGTTGGTACAATTGCTGCGAATGACCCAAGTGACTCGAATATGCTCAACTATGATCAAGTCTTTATCCGTGATTTTATACCTTCCGGGATTGCTTTCTTATTAAAGGGTGAATATGAAATTGTCAAGAATTTCATTCTGAATACTCTTCAGCTACAGGTAATGTAATTGCTGATGCAAGCTGTCGGAGTATATCGCAAATTTTTGTTGTGCAATTATAATGTGATTATCTAAAATGGGTGAACTGCAATTTAATAAATTAAAGTACTTTAGATAGTTTGTTGTTAGTATAAAGTTTAGCGTGTCAAGGTAAAGGGTTGTATTTGTTGTCTCTATCTATCCTTACATGATAAATTGGTTGGATGCACTTTTACAGGTAATAAATACTGCTCTGGAGGCCGTCGTTCTTAAATTTAAAAAAAAAAAGGAAATTCCTTGTCTCATATGGTTTTAGGCTATAGTCGAAGGTTGCAGTTTTTTGGCTATCTGCTTTCGATTTGTCAGGAACTTTTACTGTTTTACTTGAAAGTTCAAGCTGCCAAATCGTGAATGAGATCAAATTCAAATTTGCACCAAGCCTAGCCCATACAACTATAAATTTTCTCTCTCCATTTTTATACTCTGGTAGTTTCAAGAAATTGGCTCAGACAACTGTATATTGTCATTCATCCATGGCCCAAAGATCTCATTTGCATTAGAAATGCAGCATGACCTCTGGGAATCGTTGTAGACTTTTGGTACTTATTCTTACAGCAACTTTCTTTTTTTAATTAAGTATCTTAACATTGTTTGATAGAGTTGGGTGAAAACAATGGATTGCCATAGTCCTGGACAAGGGTTAATGCCGGCAAGTTTCAAAGTTCGTGTCATGCCATCAGATGGTGATGATTCCAAAACTGAAGAGGCCTTAGATCCCGACTTTGGTGAGGCGGCAATTGGGCGGGTGGCCCCAGTGGATTCTGGTCAGTTGTTGATTTTTTGGTTAACTACAAAATACACACTTGACGTTCAGACCCAAAAAATAAAAAAAAAATAAAAAAAATAAAAAAGAAACCATCTATCAAAATTACAATTAATTGGTTGATTGCCTTTTCTATTTATACATTTTAACCTTAATAGGAGGATTTATGTTGAGAATATTCTATTCCATGGGTGGAATTTGCAATACATTAAGGTGATATCTAAAATTGCAACGTATTAGGCCAAAGTTCAAGGATCGATCCATAAGTTGATATTTCACTCTTTCTGGTAGTTCAGACAAGAATGAATGTTTATGACGTACATTTTGTTTCTCAGGCTTGTGGTGGATCATATTGTTACGTGCATATGGAAAATGCAGTGGGGACTTCTCTGTCCAGGAAAGAGTTGATGTACAGATTGGCATCAAGATGATCTTACGGCTCTGTTTGACTGATGGTTTTGACATGTTTCCGACACTATTAGTAACGGATGGGTCGTGCATGATCGATCGCCGCATGGGTATCCATGGCCATCCACTCGAAATCCAGGTGTCCTGTTATTTTTAGTACAAAGAGTGTGGGTCCTAAGAAAGTTTTTGCAGAAACTAAAAATGTCGCTGACCATTAGAAATTGCCCGGTTGGCAGAGTATTTTAGCTTTGCCTACATTTTCGGTCTTTTGACAACCTCAACCATATGTTTTTGTAACTGAAGACAAGAACTTTACCTCGCGACTCGGCAAAGTGAATAACTCACAGTTTATTTTGTTAGGAAAAATTTAGGTTGCAAAATGACACAGAATAAAATTGCCAAATTATAGTTGGTTTAGATTTTCCTCTTCTCCATATTTTCAAATAGCAATGTCTTGTTCATGTTAAATCGTCTAGCTGAAAACTGAAGCAGAAACCTGAAGAGTAAGTTGCTCGAAATTTTCTAGTTTCTCAGAACTTAAAGCAGATGTTGGATCTTGGAAACAGTAAAACCTACTTCGTCTGTAACCAAAGCTGACAATCACGTTTTGTTTCCCTTTTTTTTCCTTCTATAAGTCTTTCAAGCGTCCCCTAATTGTTTTATTTATTTATTTATTTATTCTTTTTTTGCAGTCACTATTTTATTCAGCACTGCTTTGCGCGCGGGAGATGCTATCTCCGGAGGACCGTCGTACGGACCTCATGACGGCCCTAAACAACCGACTGGTGGCTCTGTCCATTCACATACGCGAGTATTACTGGATAGACATGAGGAAGCTGAATGAGATTTATCGGTACAAGACAGAAGAGTACTCTTATGATGCAGTGAACAAGTTCAACATATACCCGGATCAGATCCCCCCCTGGCTCGTCAGCTGGATGCCTGACAATGGTGGTTACCTCATCGGGAACCTCCAGCCGGCCCACATGGACTTCCGTTTCTTTTCTTTGGGGAATTTGTGGGCCATAGTCTGTGGGCTCGCGACGGTGGACCAGTCGCACGCGATATTGGATCTCGTGGAGGCCAAATGGGATGACCTTGTGGCGGGTATGCCAATGAAGATATGTTACCCCGCCCTTGAGAGCCAGGAGTGGCGGATCATCACGGGCTGTGACCCCAAAAACACGTAACTTCTACTTGTACTACTTTTTGTTTTTCCTTTTTCTTTTTTTTTTATTTGGAAATAAATAAATAAATAAATAACCACGTAACTGTAATTGCTCTATGCAGTCCTTGGTCTTACCACAATGGAGGTTCTTGGCCAACTTTGCTCTGGCAGGTATAGATTCAGTTTGTTTTTTCTGTTTGATGAAGTCCTAGTCACTGTTTTTGTGTTGTATTTTTAGATGAGTCAATGTGATTGTAATTAGTTAATTTTCCTGGAAAGTTGAAGGTGAAATAGTTTGCTGAGGCTTTTCTGTTGCAATTTCCCATCCTAAGAATGGATAGTTGCAGAAACTAATCTTGAGGTTTCAGTTTCACCTACAAATATCCATATGTGGAATGTATACTCACCCTTTATTTTGGTGTTGTGCTTGTTGATATATGGTTAGATTCCTTCACCTCCTAGTTTATTAGTTGTTTAGAATCCCTTCCTCTTAACAAAAAATATCTGCAAAACACCATCTCTTTGTAATTATTCCTCAATTTTAGTGCGATCAATTGAGATAAATATTTTTGTACAGCTCTGCTGTTGTAATTTTACCTTCTTCTAGTTCCTCAACTGCTTTATGTGTGTGCTCGCTCTTTTCAGCTAACTGTGGCATGCATGAAATTGAAGCGACCAGAAATCGCTATGAACGCGATTAAGGTTGCCGAAAAGCGTATAGCTAGGGACAGATGGCCCGAATACTATGACACCAAAGGGGCAAGGTTCGTAGGGAAGCAGGCGCGTCTTTACCAGACGTGGTCCATCGCAGGTTATCTGGTGGCCAAACTCCTGGTTGAAAACCCCAGTGCCGCCAACATCTTGGTCAACTATGAGGATGACGAGCTACTGAGTGTGTTCTCATCGACCCTCAGTGAAAACCCAAGGGGCAAACGCAAGAAGGGGCCAAAACAGAGTTTTATTGTCTGAGGTTTGGATATCAATCATGTGCCCCACCTTAGTACCTTTTCTTATCAGGACCCTGTAAGTGTAACTAATAATATTATTCATATATTTAAAAAGTGACTTACTAAGTCACCTCTCAGGTTGTGGGTGCTCACAGCCTCACACAACTAGCCCCGGAAGAATTTTAAAACTATGAGGAGATCCTTGTTTTTGTCTTGTATTTCTCCTTCCGGATGTAAAAATCATTTCAAAAAACTATTATTTGTGGAGATTGTTACAATTGAATAGGTGTGAGACTTTTTCTCTGTACTTCCCTTGTAAGTTGCAATTGCAAAGAAAGGATATTTATGCCACACACGTGGTCAACAATTCCCCAACTAATCCTTTATGGCGTTTACTACCTTTGATAGGATTACTAAATAGGATTGGAATAAGAGATAAGGATACATATGATGTGTCATGAGTTGACGTGCGCGTGTATCCTTTGAGCAGGATAAAAAAAATCTAGCCATTGGGGTGTGATAAATTTATCCTTCGTATCAAATTACAATATTTAATTTAAATAATTTTATTTAATTTAAAATATTATTATTTAATTTATTGAATGTTAATTTAAATAATTTTATTTAATTTTATTTTTTTTAATTTAAATAAAATTATTTTAGATAAGAATATTATTTAATTTAAAATAATATTACTTAAAATGTAAAGTATTAATTGAAATAATTTTATTTAATTTTAAAAAATATAATTTAATATAAAATAATTTTGTTTAATATAAAATAATATTATTTAATTTATAAAATACTAATTTAAATTATTTTATATAATTTAAAATAAGATTATTTAACATAAAATATTTTATTTATTTAAAATAAAATTATTCAATCTATAAAATATTACTTTAAATAAATTTGTGTATTTTAAAAAATATTATTTAGTATAAAAGAATTTTTAATATTATTTAATCTATAAAATATTGATTTAAATCAATTTATTTAATTAATTTTTTTTATTTAGTATAAAATAATTATATTTAATTTAAAATAATATTATTTAATTTATGAAATATTAATATAAATAATTTTGATTAATTTAAAATAATTTTATTTAATTATTTAATTTAAATTATTTAATCTATAAAATATTAATTTAAATAATTTGTTTAATTTAAAATAATATTATTTAATTTATAAAATATTAATTTAATTAACTAAATATGTAACTTAATGTATTTATCATAGACTTTTATCCACTTTGGTAAACACGGGACAATTTTCAAGGAAATTGTATCATGTTTAATAAACAATGGAAGAAATTTGAGTCCTGGAATAGATAGTCCTATCCCATCTTATCGCAATCAAAGCTAGTAAACGAGGCCTACACTTGGTTAGCCATTTTCTAATAGTTACAGGTGCTCGTGTTACTTCTTGAAGCGGGAAACATGATTGATGTACTTTGTACATAACTAATTATCTCAAACTTCGGGTTAATCTATCTATATTATTATAAAAGGACGATTGATTTTGTAAAAATATGAATTACCTAAAAAAAATCTTACTTTGGCATATTTTTAATGACAAATTAGTAATATAGTAATCCTCATCTTATCTTATATTTTTAATTAACAAATGAACCAATTAAAAAATTCTTACTTTGAAATATTTTTAATGGCAAATTAGTAATATACTAATAGTCATCATATCTTATATTTTTATATATTCAATGCTTCTAAAGATACATGCTTAACATTAATTAAGAAAAAATAAATAAAAGTTTACTGAAATCATACTCCGTGATATATATACATAATCTAACAAACTAGAAAAATAAACAATTCATTTTACTATTTCATTATTGAAGAAAATAAACTCTTTTATTTAGAATTAAGATAGAATAACCTTGGTTGTATTGGATTGGAATTTGATACAACAAAAGTCATCATTTGTTACCGAATCTTCACCTGACCATTCAAATATCAAGGTGATATTCTAATTACTAACTCTTAAAATATTTAAAATTTTTCATTTAATAATTAATCAAAATATATCATGATATTTTAATTATTATTACTTTACATGAGCCAAGATGGGCGCTAAATAAACAATGAGAATTAAATTTTTTATATATTGAATACTTTATTTATTGATATTATCTTAAGATTTTTAAATAATTTTATGATTTTCTCAATGACATGAGTTTATTTGACCATAAGTATCCTATCAATAATAAATTTTTTTCAGTAATATTTATTTAATTTTGTAAGTTTATTAATACCTCTAAGTAAAAAACATGAAATCGATATTGTTTGTTCTCATAACAACCACAAATATAGAAACATTATTTTTGATTTTAACTTCTCTCGCTTGGGAGCGTCCGATATTCTCTCGCCGGAGAGCGTTTTGCAGTTTGGTCCGGGATTACTTCAATTCCTTCTTCTCCCGTTCCTTCTTCTTTAGCCTATAATCTCCGTTGTCAGATCTAGAGTGTTTGAGTTCTCTGCTTCTGCTCTAGTGGAAATTAGGGTTTCTGATGGCGTCTAGTTCCTGTACAGGGCAAGACGACGAGCTTTCCCAACGCCTTGAAGGTTTCTCTCTGTCGGAAAAAGAGCATAACTACATCGATTTGGGTCAAGTCGACATCAAACTCAGCGATGGAGAATGCAAGCGTAGTTTATTTGGCAAAATCATTGGCGACCGGAAAGCTTCATGGATCGGAGTTCAGAGGGCGATGAATTACATATGGAAACTCCTTGAGCCTATGGAAGTAAGAGAATTAGGCCATAACTTCTTCCAATTCATTTTCCAAA